CTCATACCAAATTTGGCCTAGAGACCCGGTAATTATGGTACTTTAAGCTTCATACACATCCAGCCCGAAATGGTGCTCATTATTCCTTGATGGATGGTATGAATGTTGCCGTTTCTAATTAACCCTATTCCCGCTGACATCGGCCGCTGCTGTCACAGCGTTTTCCAAAACCATTTGCGGCTTACTAAGGAAATACCGTAACTTCAACACGGCTGTGATTGCATGGCGTGAAGCCTGCTTAACGCACGGCATGTCATTGGATCTTTGAACATTCGACATGGATTTGTCGCCCACAGACACTGTACCATGCGGGTCAATGTCCTGTTGGTGCGCATACATGCATGCCCCGACGGGGCAGTCCTGGCGTGTCGCTGATGAACAGCATTGATAGCCATTGTTCGAATTACCACTAATTGACCACTGATCTGCCTCGGTCAATTACTGATTTGTAATCCGATGATTAAATGGTGGCATGTGAGAATCCTATTTCGAAGAATGCCATCAACAATGCCTTTGAATGGCTTTCACTTTTTTCGATGTTTCACATGCAGCTTTCCAGTTCTCATAACTGGAGGTCAGTGGCTGAACACTGATGTGCTGCGAAACTCAATGAGAGAAGTGAATACATACGGAAAAGCCAGTTTAAAGAGATGAAAGTCTGACACACCAAGACGGCCGCAGCTGCCATTTTGTGCAAGCACCTGTTCATATGTTGGCTGACTGGTGCACACATTGACCTGACTGAGATGGCGGGAGGGCGGCTGACCAACAATCAGCTTCAATCTTACTAATTTTGGTGATTGTGAGCTGGTGCTGTGGGTTGGAGCTATGGGTCGGTGCCGTGGGTCGAAGACATGGGTCGATGCTGTGAGGTAGCGTGTTGTGCGTGTGTGAAGTGTGAGTTCAATCCGGCGCTCTGAGTGTGAGTGCCGGTGGGCAAAAGAATAGGCGCATTTTGGTATTTAAAGAGAGCCCGAGACTGTTCGTGGCTTCTCTTGATCTGGTTGTAAGACGAGTTGAGTCTTGGCTGCTTGTCCGACCATGCACAGCGAGTGCGTTCGAGCACGGCGTGCACCAAGGTTGCCACAGAGGTTGAACCAAGTCGGTTTGACTTGTGCTGCGTTGCGGCCCATCGCTGCGCGCTTTCAGTTGCGACGAGCGGGATCTCGAGCCGGGATGGCTAAGGAACTTTGACACCATTCAGTGTTGATTGATGCTTCGTTGACTTTTCTCATGCTTGTCGCTTCCAATCAATTCTCGATGGAGTGCTGGATTCATCATCGTCATCATCATCATCATTATTTACAGAACAAGGCAATGAGGTAGCCGTGTGCTTCCCATTCTGCCTGAGCAAAGAAGAGTCGGTGATTGGTTCATTGAAATCTAATGAGATATACAAACTAAATCTATGATTCTATGAACTCTCGATGCCTAGAAGCGATAATCGATGGTAATACATCAAACGAAGTGTCTTTGCAAGCTGGCGAGCTGGAACTGAAGCAAAAAGGACTTTCGCATTCCTTTCGCAGAGCTGGATTCACACTGAGTTCCGCACTCTATTCTTCGCGCAATGTAGTCAGGTGGTTTTGTTCACGCGACGTTGTCGTGGCTGTGCAGCAGCATATGTCGATTAGATTTCCACCACAGTGAATTCATCGCAAATCGAAGTGCATCGCCCTCCGTGCAAGGACTGTTGTTTTTGGAAGACAATGAAGGTACCATGTGAGGTAGGGTGCTGTTCATGTGCAGCACATCTTAGACCCAGGGAGCAGCACACACACACACACACTACACCAAGTAGAGCAATTGCGAGTCAACTGCCGTCCCTTCCCGCACAAAGAATCGGTGTTTCGACCCAGCACACAAAGTTTTTGCGTTGGTTTAATCAATACCACGGCAGCGACAACATCTCAAAGAATCGATTGCAGACACAGCTAGCCCCAACCGCCGCCTGCGCTGCGTCCCCAGGAAATCGCGAACAGTGCACCAGAAGACATTGGGCCCTAGGGGGCGGCCCCTCCAGTAGCCCCTCGCTGGCCGCCAAGTCGCCTGTCGTCATCATACCGTCGTCTGCGCACACCGGCGATTCTGCGAGCCTTGGCAAGATTGAAGACCGCCAGTTCACCCTGCTTCCAGCGGGCTTCGGCTCAGGCGTCCATCAAGCAGCCTCGGACAACGTCCCAAGGCTGGACGTTCCTGCAGACGACCAGAGTGATGCCAGTCAGACAGCGGCTGCTGGTGTTGACCATCAACGGCAGTGACTCTTGGTGCGCAGTAGTGCTTGCACAGGCACGTGCAAGACAACATGACAACGTGCTCGTTGGCACTCCGTGTTCATAAGCACCCGTATGGTGTTTGATGTGGCGAATGTCCCATTTCAGTCAGCAACTGTACCTTCTTCAGGTGTGAGGAATGCTAAACAGCATGGGGGCGGTCACAGGGTAGGATACGTTTCACTGCACAGCCATTCAAGTCACCCTTTACTCTGTTCAAGCAAAGTGGGTGCAGCAACATAAGCATTGAAAGATGTAGTTTTTGTAACGTATTGTTGCTGAGCAACGTCAATAGGAACACAACTAAATTCGTCTGTAATTTATATGTAGCATCGATGATTTGTGGATAATAACTGCCAAATGCTATGCAGCACGTTATTGCGTTACGCTGAACGTTCACTTCGGTGGCAAACCAACATTGGACGTCTGCTGTGCTGCGGATGCAACATCCCCAGTGGGTAAAGCATAGCCTTGCCTCTTGACAGATGCGCCCAACTAGACTTTACACAGTTGGCAAAGCAATAGACTTTCCAGGACCACAAGCAGCCACGATAATCACAGCCAAAGATTTCTGGTTTGCACAACGAACGCGCTTCATACAATAGGCATTTCCCTCCTGCAGAAAAGACTCTTGTGAAAAGACTCTTGTGTGACTCTGTTCCAAACGGCACATGATGAAACTGGGAGCCTCCCTCTGCAGCACCGAGCATGAACCACAGCCAAGCGAGAATGAACACAATGGGAACACACAAGGAAACATAATTGGTGGTACGACAATATAATGGGCCCATCATCTGGAAAAAGGTAGAAGTTGATGCAATACTATGGTTGCATTGGCGTTGATGCAATGCCTGGCACCGCTTCAGCAAATGGCCCCGTGTCAACAATGACAAGCACTGATACTTGTGCCAGCGTTGCTTCGATGCTGATTCACTGTCCTTGCTACAGCACAGTTCGGGGTTGCATCAATGATACTGTACCAACACCACTGCATCAAAGCGTAGCCCTTTTCCAGATCGGACTGAGGCAGGTTGGTGTGGGATGGCAACGATCGTGGTGTTGTCCAGTACATGCAAAACCCGGGAATTCAGAAAAAGGCAGCAGTGCTCTCACCAGCTTGTCACCAGCCCATTCTGCACGTAAGGGTCATTGCGTGCGTAGGCCTCAACCTCCTGCCCATTTCGCAAAGCCCACAACATTCCTTCAGACAAAAGTGCAACTGGCCCTAGCCAACGTGCAATTGATGATGAAAGGGTGCGGCTGGCCACCAATGTGCCTTTGATACTGGGAATAGGCACTTCAGTAACACAAGCAGCAGCCAACCTGCCCAAAGCTCTATTCAGATCCTAAATATCTTTGGCAGTTCAGTGAAACAAGGAGAGGCCATTTTCCCCAACCCAGGCCTCTGAACCACTTAGATTCTAACCTGGTGTGCTCCATACGAATGGGAAACAAAGATACTGTGATCCTGGCATCTGCATTGCAGGATGTCTTGGAAGGGAGCCCTCTGATATCCCAAGAGATCATAGGAACTAGGCATTGCTTGAGAACTCCAGCTTCTTTGACAAGGCTTGCCTTGTCATGTGGTGAAAAGTGCCACAGATCATGGAGGATAGCGGCCCCCTGGTGTTGAGCATCAGGGCTGACGTCAGGAATTCGGGGGCCGCTATCTTGGGTGCCCTCCGCGTTCCGCATCGAGTCGCTGACTCAATAGCGGCCCCCCCCCGTATTGTCACATTGGTCAGTGTACTGGCAGCAAAGTGTACCAGCACCCTGCCAATTTAGAGCATTACATAAAGCGCCAGTCATGGCAGGAACCAAAGCCGGTGACAAGAAAAGTGATGGGATGCCACAGTTTGTTGCATTACGCTGCGCCCCATACTGTCAGATTGACTGGCAGAGCGAACCGGCATCTGGCTGATATTGCAAACTACATAACATAAGGCGCCAATCATAGCATCAGCGAAAAACAACGAATAACACCCAATGGGACGTTGCACAGCACTGAGCATCTTGGGACGTGTTGTTTGATTAAAGGAGGTATGTCAGGCACTGTTTATTTGGAGTGGACTTGGTAACATTGGAGTGATAGCACATACAATGAATTGTAAGAATGTGCTAGACATGCAGGGGCTAGCTTGCATGCCCCCACGCTATCTTGCGTAAACCCCGTGCTCCGCAACACAGGCCATGTTTGGTAATGCTGGGAGCATTATCTAAAGGCCCCTTGCGCTATCTTCCGTGATCGACAGTATGCAGTCAATGGAATTGGACACCATGAGAGAATTGATGGGTCTCCAAGATAAAAGCCGTGCGGTCATGAACACAGTGCAGGACACGTTCAAGTATCTTGCTTTGCAGGTGTCCTGGAATGACAAGCACTGCCCTTCACATTGCAGGATTGAGATGGCAAGCAGAGCACACTGTACATCGTGCTGCTTTGAAACTGCTCACATCTTCATGAAATGCACAATGGAATGCGTACCAAACTGAGAATAAAATGTGGTCGATGTTGACTACATTTCTCAGAAAACAAGACAAACCAGTGCGCTACATCTATTAGGCGATGTCTGGTATTGTTCCAGGGCACAAATTGGATCTTGCAGTTCACCTTTTGCATCATGCTGCACAGGGGGTTGCACAAAGTATGGTTGCATCAGGGAGGGGCCATTAATGGATTTTGCCATTCTTGTGACTGACAGGAGAAGATAAAACTAATGGAGTGACAGGTAAATATTCTTGGACGTGTGCAAGCCCATCATCGCTCACCAGGTGCAAGTGTCTCACTTTGTCTTCCCAATGCAGCCCTCAACTACAATAGGAAATTTAGGAAATGAGCAGATGTGCATCTGAGCTATAGTGCATGGTGCCTTGGTGGGCTAAGTACATGACAAAATTTTGACCCCATGGATGACTGCATACCTCCTTCGAGCTGTTCTTGAAAATCCACAGCGATGTCCCTGGAGGGTCGCCCCTGGCACCACCAAGAAGCAGCTTCCCTTTCTTGGCCTGTGCACAAAAATGGAGTCAGCTACTGCACACTGATCATTCAATGCACACACTGCCGCCAGGACGCTATATTGATCCCCCTAGCAAGGACACCAGTGCAGTTTCTCTTATCAGACAGGCACATCGCACTCAAATGCTACCACAGTGTATCAAACCCCTCCACATCGTAATGCAACACTGGGCCTTCTCTTCTGGAGCAATATTGAACAAAGCACAACAGCGTTGAAGAAACGTAGAGCTGTCAAAATCTAACACCCTGGTTGGCGGCATTACAGAGGGGTATTTGCCGAACACGTACTTTAAGCAGACATTCAAGGTTGGCACCTCCATCAACTCACCGACTCCTCTGCTAAGCTGAGATGTACTGCCCTGTATGGCTTCCTCCTTTCAATGATGTTTGGGACAAAATCGTATTGAAGGACATAATATGCAGGCCCGCCAGCAGTACTCGTCTGCAGCAGTGAAACACACACGGATGTCTATGTGGCCTTGTAGAATGGGGGCAAAGCTATGCAGCATCAATTAAAAAAGACTGCTTCGTGATTGTTTCGCAGATGTTGAATACAAGTCAGTGGCAACACACTCTCCTAAGCGCACTCTGAATCCAAAACTGACAACCACAAACCTTAAAACATGGGGCATCTCTCCTGCTGGGATGGGGTTAACACATGGACTCCAAATGCGATGTAATATTTTCGATCACGAGGACCTGAGCAATGCCAGGAAACGCCCAACAGGCGCAAGGGCTGACTTCGCCTTTTTGCCACCAATGATAGAGAAAGCAACTTCGATGGCGACAGTCTTTCAAAATGCCACAATTAGCAATCGTCACGGTGAAGGCAATTCACTGATCAGCGGCTACATCCTTGGTGCCAGCCTCTAATCCCGTCGTGGGACAACCCACGATAACGGATGCCTACCGGTAGGAGTGGTGATGTATGCCAAATGCCTCATTCAACGCCAGAGGAGGGCCGACGCAGGGCCAAAATGACCGCAAAGGCAGGGGGGGAACGAACAGGATCGAAAGCTTCAGCAACCCTGATCCCATCTAATTGTGCGGCCCTATTGCACGCACGCTACCCTGTCGTTCAATGCCCCTCCACGGTGCGCTCCCGTCCGCTCAGCGCAGTCGCATCCGCGGACATCTCCTCAGGCATCCTCGCAACGTGGAATATAGCGGCGCGACAAAAGTCGCCCCCAAAGGGGCCGCCAGGAAGGGGCCGCCACACCGCATCGCATGCCCAGCATTGGCTCCCCAATGCGACCTTAACGCGCCCTATAACGCGACCTCCTTCGCAGGGGCAGCAACAGCGCAGCGGCGTCATGGACAACGAGGAGCGAAGCGGGAGCGGCGGCAGGGCAGAGGTCAAGGGAGCGCACACCCACCGAGAACGCCGCCCAAGACGCGGGCCAGAGCCTGCGCCTGACGCCTCCCACCAGCCACCCGCGGGCGGCCATGAATGGAGAGGGAAGGATGGGGGTTGGACGGTGTGTTTGTGGCCCAAGGGGCCCAAGGGGAGAATAACGGGGCACAGGGCAATGACTTCACCAAATCATGGCATTTGGCAGTCGGAGCCCCATCCAGCAACATCCAGCAAGGGGCGTTGCTTGAAGGAATCGAGGGCCCAGGGCGGGTTCTGCTGTGGGCTTTCACGAAAGTGCACGCAATGAATAAAAAGCAACCATATTTGGCTTTCTAAATTTCAACCAAAAAACAATATGAGAATCATGGCGCCCCCTTCCAGAGTGGCCATTCCTCGATATAACACTGTTCCGATGTTCGTTTTATTTGATTTAGACAATGTGTTGAAGTCTCGAGCTCTCCAAACGTCAGAGATGTTGCACCTTAAAGGTACGTTTCGAAGGGTTGATCCTGGTAATGGTCTAAGCACACAGTGGTGGGCCTGACAGGCTGAGGGAGACGCCCCGATGCGACTCAAGCTCGCTCAACACATGGGGAACACTCCCCATTTGATTCAGGGCGTGTTTTTTTAGGCAGTTCAACAAACTGGAATCCTCCAGAAGCAGCCGATCTTTCAGAAGTTCATCCACTGGCATGTCCCAACTCAGAAGCTTGCAACTTAAAAGAAAGATCTCATGAGGCTAGCAGCAGTACCAAAACGCATGTCTTCTGATTCAATGCTCAGTTTAGATAAAAGCAGTGGTGGATCAGCCACACTATGGGAATTGTTATGAACCAATCGATTGGGCATCCATGTAGTGCCCTCAGCCAATGAGCCACATGATCCAGTCACAGGAACACAGGAGTTTTATGTGCAAGTACTCTGTGTTCAGGGCCAGATAACATCTCAAACATACGCTGGTCTGGGTCAGAAAACGCCGAGGACATCAGGGCCTCTCCCAGAAGATCGATGCAGAGGTTGCTACTGCCAGCATTCTGGGTTCTACAGGGGAGAATGGTTTCAAAACAAGTATGGGGAAAGACCTGCTTTGGGGCCAGTATTGGGCATCGACCTAAGGGACAGCTGCAGTATTTTGTCATACTGCAGCGGCACACCACGGTATTTGGTATGAAAACCAGCAAGGGTGATACCGGCTGACCCCCTGCACCCACCATAAGTCCACAGATGGACACACGTCGCCATGCCTCCAGCAGCAGCCCAGGAAGTGAGCAGATGAGCTTATACAGCAGAGCACCAGCAGCAACTAAAGGATGCGATGAGTATGGGTGCCCGATACACAAGTCTTGAATCGTCTTGACCCTGATTGCTGTTGATGCTGTACTCAGCTCTGGGCGCCTGTGGCTCTTCACTTACGAGAACCAGTGCTTGGGGACAAGGTTCAACATGTGACATTGCCATTTCGTGCTGACAAATTCATTCAAAATGGGGAGCAGCAGGCATGGTGGCGAGAGACTTGTTGTGGAACATCCCAGCCGTCCAGGGCACACCGACCTCAGTGATACCAAGCATATGCCACTCAGTCAAGGAACATTTGGAGAGTTTTTTGAAAGCTTGCATCAAGAACCCCAAATCTTGGACAGCTGTCAGCAGCAGATTTGGTGCAAATTGATAGAAATGCGCCGTGGGCGTTGCTGTCTTCTTGGCCACTTGCGCCGCTCAGGCAGAAAACCATCAGCAGTCTCGCACTGCCACGTCATTTTCAGCCCCACTCCATTGCCGTCAAAAACTTTCCACTCCCCAAAATTAAGGCCAACAACCCAACGACGCTGTCCAGAGGGCGCATTGATAGCAATGGTTGCGTGCTTTCACGGTGCATTCGAAGAACTTTTGCATCACGTTCCTAATAGAAACACGCATCCCCGTGTTCGCAGCGGGAGCACTATTCGCTGAGCTCACAATTCGTTCATGTGCTCCCATCGCCTGCCACCGCCCCAAAAGCGCAAGCCCACCACTATGCATCGCTTGCAGACCGATGTATCAAGTTCCAATTTCCCTAACACTGAATGGCCCCTTCAAGGGGGGGCCATTTGGCGTCCACGGGCGCTCACCGACTGCGCCTGTCCGCCCTGCAGCACTTCCTCGGGCTCCTTGTCGACCGGTGAGCAGTCGGCCATCGCGAAGAACGGGTGAAGGCTAGTGCTCTGCGCACCGCCGGTCCATCAGTACACAACGCTCACGCCCTCCCGCTCGTTACATCAGAGGGCCCCAGGTGAGGTGTTAGTCACCCGGCCCCGTTGCTGAATCCCTGTATACCTGTATCCCTGTATACGGTAATTTGGATCTTCTTTGATGTCAGGGTACTTTAGAGATTATCGTGGCCCACCAAACAAATGCTAAGGGGCCTAAATGCGGTGGAAGCGGTGGCATTTGGGCGTCCATGGACAGTGAGGAACCTTGGCATTCCAGTGCAATGCAGGGCAAGTGGAATTTCAGTGGAAGGCGTTAATTGTGCACCACATTCTGGAGTGATTCCAGAGCCCCGCTGGGAGTTTTCGACGTTGTACCGCGAGTGAGAGACAAATTCTTTGCACACCCTTACAGCGCTGTGCACGGCCAAAGTCGGGTGTGCACATGGAAACAAACTGCTATAGACGAACTACTGAAAGCAGAACATTGTTGCGCTGATTAGCGCCAAATAAACACTTTGCATGTGTCATTGACACGTGTGAGCACCTGAATTTGTTCCGGCGAAATTTAGAAGAAGAATTGCTCGAGGACACGTGAAATCGCGTGATTGCAAAGAAACTTGCAGAGCGCAGAAAATGTGCCTTAAGGCATATCACGTTTGTAAAACCCCGTGTCATTTCCTGGGAAGAAAATCACTGACAGTGAACCGCCGGAGTTGCCACGGGGATTTTGGGTCACGCTGCCCTCAAAGCCAAGTTGAGGCAGCCGGCCGTGACAGTTGCCATACCATGTGGCCCACCGCCACTTTTGTGCTTGCTTGACGCCTTGCTGAGGGGATGTGGCTGATCGTAACCTTCCATTCGACGTTTAGGCCTTATCGGTGAGGCCTTGGATTGCGCAAAGACTAATGCATGGCATAGCCAAATGGATACCAATTACTGCGCCAAAGAAAGCACTGCCGGTGCCTTTTTCCAAAAGACCTGAAAGACCTGCTGGCGCCTACTGCCCAAATTGAGTAAGACTGCAACGCCATCCAAAATCCACAGCATTTACAGGGTCGATGTTGCGCCGTCCGTTAAACTGCGTCACTATCTAGGATAAGAAGCAAGACTACCAGTGCCTCAAAATGTGCACCAATCACCCAGGCGATGATGGAGTTGGCCCATATGTGGAAAATGGCCCAAATCGCCAGCATGGTGCACACCCTTTGCTCAAACACCTTCGCGCTTGAAATCACTTGTCCCAGGCCTCTAACGGCTCGCATGTCTGTACCTTGAATTGAAAGGGCCACATTCCACTTCCGTACAAGCATACCCTTCTCAAGAAGTACAACGGCTCCCATGCAACTCAACTCGCAGTGGCAGCAGGAAGAGCTCCTAGGATTGTGCCTGCCGGGCATGGCACAGCCCGGTCTTTGAACTGAGCTCGGCGGTGATGTGGCCCAAACCGTCGTGTCCTTAAAATCACCCTAATCCACCTCTGCCAGTGTGCCAGCGACAACCGCCCAGGGCTTGACGGTCCTGCAGAGGCAAAGCAAGCGTCCAGTCGCAAGGAAAAGAAACGGCGATGCAACAATTTTTATGCTTACATTTGTTGGATCAACTAGTTGCGTTGACATCGCAATTTTTCTATTTCAGAACTTGAATACTGCGGAGCCGTTCGACAACCTCTTGCGGAAAAGGCGCCACAGGAATCCAGCTTGCGGGTGCAAGTCGTGGCACACAATGGTTGGAAAGGAAAACAGCACGCTTATCGTGCTGAAATAGGGCAACCTAACAAGTATTTGATACAAATGCGGCTTGTGAAACCAAATCAAACCAACAAGTTCGTTAAAAAAAATGTGACCAAAAAGCAAACGCATATGTGTACATATGTACACATCTGCTGCTCGTCTACTTACTTGCTTATATCCTACTTATTGTCTTCAGATAGGTGATGCAAGGATTTTATGCGTTTTCCCATGGTCCATTCATCGCTGCTGCGCTGTTCTAAGCCCTTCGATGTTGCTGAATTGCCGCTACAAATTGTGCCGGGCGGTCACCTTCTTTCCCCCAACATTCTCCCACACCCGCATTGCTTTGCTCACCATTTCGTCACCAGTCCGTTCCGAACATATGGATCCGAGGCCGCAAACGCCTCCACCTCCTGCGGGTCATACAAAATGGGCACAATAACGATGCGCCCCAAGTCGATGCAGTCTCAAATGCCACGTACGTCATGGCATCAAACCCGCATCCTCCTCCTGTGGGTTGCCCATGGCCACTCGCGGTGTGTACAGATTCAGGCTGGGAAGCAGGTCAGGAGCGCAATCCCGGGGACTCCAAAAACTTGTGTGGGGGAACACTAGATGGGAGAATAGCTGGGACAATGTAACATACACAGAGGTGTGTTGTTTGGACCAAGTCGGTACGGACACCAGGCCGTGTTGAATGACTACGAGTCTGCGCTATGCCAACATTAGAACATAAGTCCACCCTGCTAAGGCAGCTGACTGTGGGGGCACAGGTTTTTCGCAGACTATGTGCCCGTAGGCATTCTGTACTTCAACGCACTCAGCAGCAATCTGGGCTGTGTCTATTTTCAGGCGGGGCGGACGGACTGTCAAATGCGGCGTGACACTGTTGGCGAGAAGAGCCTTGATCCAGCACTTGCACGCAGGTGGTGCTTTGTGGAAAGGTGCAATGGTATGTTGAAAACTCGTGGGCTTCAAGCTTCTTATTCCATCAGGCGGCTAGTGCCACAGTCACAACAAGCTACCACCCCAGGCAAGGGTGACCTCTAGAACCCCGCTCCAAACTGCGTCCTCAATCCCCTATGGCTAATGTCGCAAATGCTAAGCCAGTGTTCGGTGTTGCTTGCACCCATGTCACAACAAAAGCGTATTATGCAAATGCTAATGTGCAGTTGTAAACATGGCAATACTGTACAACCGGCAACACCATAATGAATGAATGTTCGCTCTACCCTTTCAAGCCAAATTAGATCAGCATGCATGATAATATATGTCCGACAGCGAACGGCATCTTATCGTTGGAACATCCCCACCTACACCAAACAAGACTCTATGCAAGCAAGTCACCAACTTTGCATCCAAATTTACATATTCGCACCCTGTTTTACACTAGCATCCATGCCCGATCATGGTTCTGTCTATGGTTAGATACATATCGTGAAAGTTGCTTACTACCGCAGTGCAATTGTACAGACACAAAGTATTGCAGCCTTCTCACTTGCTATTATGTATCTACCCACACACGCATTCGCCACGGTGCCATGTTCCAAGCAGCCATCACGCGACCACGCGCCAGTGAAGCATGGCAACAAAACCGGCATTGGTGGGTACCAATATTGTCCAGTTCAGATTTACTAATGTATGTACATGGTACACACGATATGGCCCTGTTTGACCACAGTTTGGACCAAGAATACGCGATTGTTCCTTATATACGATTCTGAAAAGATTTTCAGTCGTTTAAAGCGCCACAGAAACAGTGGTGCAATGGTCAGCTCATTGCCAGTGATGCACACTACACCGCCAAAATAATCGACTGGGAGGCGAAACGGAGCCTCCTACCACTTGCGGTGGATTGCCAGCAATGTTGCCGCACCTCTTCAGACACGTTCTTGAAAACCACGAGGCCAGAATCTGGAGGGTCGCCGCTGGCGCCCCCAAGCAGCAATTTTCCTTTCCGGACCTTTGAACAGACACACCATCGCATCCCATGAGGCTGAATCATCGACTTTGTAGCATCCATTGTCATCAAGAATGCTTACTGCACTGCTGCAGCACTACTGCACTGCTGCAGTGTATTGTTTATTGCATTCATTGCAACGAACCTGTCGACAGCAAATGAATGAAGACAGCGCAAATACTGCACACTCTTTTCTGGCAGTCATAATACGTGCGAACACGCACGTTATCTGAGCCACGCTAATCTTTGCATATTGTGTGGGTTGGAACTGCTCAGCAGAGCGGATGTGTGGACTGAGTGGCTGCGCACGTGAGAGCCCTACGTTACTGAAGCTCTGTTTTAAACAGTGGCTGATGTTGCAATTGGTCTCAACAGCTCCTAGCATGCCCTAAAATGCAAAAGGGAGTGCATGTGAGTGAACTCATTTCTACTGTTGGAATTGTTAGATTGTTTGACCACTACTATCCAAATATATTGTATAGATCCACCTTGCACTTGCATTTATGCTTATGCAGACTCTCACATCATTGCAAGCAACCAGCCATAGAATACATCAGCAGTTACTGAAATATAACTGCACTGCTTGTTGTGTCCACTGGTGCAATTGATTTTGGAATGAATATACTAGGTTGCCCAAGGACATGCCCAGAATTCAGCGATGCACAGCACCGCCCCCTGTCGGGATTCATAAGACAGCTGCACTACCTTCCCAGTCTGTGAGGTTGCAACATCAGATTGGCAGTGCAGACCATGTGCACAAGCTACTCAAGCTATCAATGTTGAACAACGAAGAGAAACGTCGGGACATGACTGCAACTTGGGGTCGGAAATGTATCTAATGCTGACCTGCCAACCTCGAAGCACCATTTTACGAGGCGGCAATCCAAACGTTGGGACAAGGCACCTCTGCTGTTGAATCCAGGCAAAGGGGGCACACCTCCTTGTCCGCCTGGTCCAGGTGCTCTTTCCTGAAGGGTGTCCTCTTCTCCTTTATGCCCTCCACGAATTCATAATGGAGCACATAGTAGCTTGGCCGACCACCCACGTATCTCTGCAACGGGTTGAAGGCGACAGGTGAGAACAAAAGTTCTCCATGTCGTCAGTGATGTACATCATGTATGGCAGTTACATCGTTCGAAAGAACCACACAGTGTTGTCCTTGTGTTTGTATTCCAGTTGTGGGGTCCATGAGGTTCCTGACCTTGGGGTTGGCATTGTTCTCTACCCATCAAGATACTTGGGGATGTATGTCTCACACATATAATCTTCAACCAACTGACTCATTAATGCAACAAAAAACCTGCTGCTAGTTGCATATGGGCGCATTCGGCCCTTTGCATTCTGCCATCCCTCCATGAGCCGACATGCTCGAACAAAACAACATGGATGGAATTCCGCTTGCCACAATTGTAAGGCACCAAGGGCTGCTTCGTCGCCTTGTAGCAAATGCAGTCGAAGCGCAACAGTGACCGAATTTAATATACAGCTTACCTTGCCCCACTTCATTGTAGCAAAACGGCACCAAGAACATGGTTACAATAGCTCGATTTGGTCCCATCCTAACTCGCTTTAAACTTCAACACGCTATTTGGCCCCATGTAAACACAAATTGAAGGCAACTTGCACAAAGTTGAAGACTGTGTGGGAAAGGCAAGTTTCTGGCTAATGTGACTAGCTACGGTACTATGTATTACCATTATACGGATTCTTGTACGGGGGCAGAAGCGCGTTTGCCTGCAAGGATGGTTCGTTAGGATGTCTCTGCTGACGTCCTGGGAATTCTAAGCCCAAGCTGTCACGCATGTTGAGCACTTTATTCCATTGTGCAATTTCTGTATCAGAGGCACCCCTGCACATTGCAAACGACCAATGGCCACACACAGCGTATTTTTGGAACCGACCTACAGGAGGAGTGACTGATGCAGTTCGTTTTTTTCCCCTTGAATTCAAGGGGTATGTGAATTGTAGTGACGATATATGTAGTTTTTTTCTCCTTCTTGCCGACAAGCGGAGGGCACAATGATTGCCGCTCCAAAAGACATCACGGTCACAATCGCTGATTCCCCACAAAACAACAAGTAAGCTACAATCATGCGTTTCTATGCAATTTTATACAATTAAAGAAACCACACATTTGCGATTCTAATTTTTTGCTGTCGTTGTCAATTCCCATCCAACAACGCCCCGACCATCCCCATTACCGACCGTGGGGATTATATCTCGGGCCCCATGCGCCCCGCAGCCGCGCACGAGACCCACAACGACGAACGACAGCAAGCCACGCCAACAGGACTCCAGCGCTCCTCCTTCCCCCTCTCCGCTGGCCCACACCCGGCTGCGGCTGCACGCGACTCGCTCCGCGATGCCGCGCTTCGATCGAGCAACATCCAGGCGCACCCCTGCCCAACCAGATCCCCCTCCCTTTCGAAAGGGGGGTTCGCCCACCAGGGCCACGATAATCCCACCCAGCAGATCGCCGCCGCCGCGGCTGCCGGCCCTGGAAGACGCCGTCTACGAATCCAGGGGGAGGAGGCGGCAACGGTATTTTGCATCCCAGTACGTCGCCCAGCAGGAGGGATGCCCGGCGGATCCGGAAAACGGACGACCGACGACGCGCCCGGCGTCGACGGTCGGGACGTGGGGGCTGAGAGGCAAGAGAGGAGGAGAGCGAGGCGGCGATCGCGCACTTGGCCCCAAAACTTGTGGGGAAAGTTTTGCCGCCTGGGCCATTGCGACTGCCTGCATTTTGGAACGCAAGAATCCTTGCGCGGGACGCACCGCGAACGCAGCCTGGGAGCTTGCCCTGAGGCCCCGCCGCAGGAGCGCCGCGCTCAACGCCCCGGCAGCCATGCCTGGTGGACAGACACTGAATTGGGTCGGGCAAGCGGAGGAAGGGGGCGGTGTGTGGATGTCTTTGGGAGCTCTTTTGGGCGTTGGGCTCTCAACTCGGCCCCCAGTGTCCTCACTCCCGGGATTCAGCAAGTTTTTCTTCCTTTCTCCGCGCGCCAGATTTTTCGAGATTGTGTGTTGGAGTAACGGACAATGTGCCGGAGAGACTCCGCATTGATGGGGTCTTGAAGGCAAGGCCGTTGATGCGATTCAAACGGGCCCCTTTGGAGTGCACACGGGAAGCGCGAGTCCACGATCGCCGATGCTTCAACGGCATTGGCACACAGCCAGACGCAAGGCCACACCACACACAAACCGCCGGGGCTTACATATTTGTTCACCCTTCCCACAACGAAGAGCCTTGCTGACGGCAGCAACGACCCCTGCAACGGAACCGTTCGAATTTTTTTGCACCCACAGAACTTTCCTTTTCATGTGACAAGGACCATCATCCATCATCAGCCAGCCATACCACATTTCAGAGATGCCCATTCATCACCACAATGCAACCCACTTCATAAAGCATATGTCAAAGGTGCCCATACACTCAATGGTAATATGCAAATATGTACAAGTCGCACACCATAATGCATAAGTGATCCACCCAGTGAAACGGTGGTTATTATGCAGTGTTGCGAACAGGGGCCAATTTAGGTGATCACTTCACAAAAACGAGTGAGTTCACAGATGGGTCAGAAAGAACGAATAAATGGAAAATGATGCCCAAGAAAATAGCAACATGTGATATGTGTTTCTTTTGGCATTTGGCATTTTGGCATTGGTGTTCCGAGGAATATTCTTGTGTACTGCATGCCCAGATTTTACGAGCCAATTTTGAGCGGCCTGCCAAACACTCTTCCGTATCAACAAATTTTCCTTTATTATTTGCATCGGTGCCCAACGCCATATCCATTTACTTTATGAACGTTGCCTTGGGCACATACTGCTAGAATCCTTTGTTCTCACAATATGGCTTAGATTTGGGACATTTGTTGGCGTGTGGTTTTTCCGCGCGCGCCCCGTGCGATGGATCGACGATCCCTCCGGCGGATGGCCAGGCGTAATCGGCACGGTCGCTTGCTCGATCTCGACGCGGCGCGGACGTGGTGGGCCCCTTGGCGGAACGGCCTCTGCGGTGCGTCAGTCGGAAGGGCGGATTGGGTCCGGTGTTGCCTTGCGCGCGGTTCGCAGGCAGACAGTGACAGCAAAACGGATGTTCGTTACAGGGTTCCCAGCGTCTTGTCCCCGCGGCACACAGCACGGTTACGTATACATAACCCTCATGTCACCCTGTACTTAAACCACCGTCCCCACAAGCACCCAGACCGTCCCCGAAGCCCTCTTTCTAATGCAGCGATATGGCCCGAAAATGGCCAAAATCCCCAAATCGCCTCGCTGCGCTCGATGCTCACCCAAGGCGCGGATAATTGGTCCGCGCGCCTTTGCGTCGCATCTCACTCCGCTCGTATAAAGAACCAAAGACAATGTTCACACAACATTTGTTCAACCTTGACTACCAAATACTATTTGCTTAGTCTTTTATTCCCCATCGGAGTCACGCAGCTTCTTTAATTCAGTCACCTGCCTCCAATATTTATAATGCCAAGAAAATATGCTATGCTCATGGAGTTTCTGGAAGCGTGCTTAAGCTCTTCAAATTTATAGTGTCGAAATACAAGTGAGGTTGTCAAACAATTTCCTGGCAAAGCCATTTTGCATTTACAATTGGTTGAGCAGGAACTGGTAGAAATTGCCAGTAAATCGGTGCAATTCTGAATTGCCGTTTGACAAGTGATGCATGATTTTGTGATGGACGACTCTTGAAAAAAGTTTGAAGTTCAGAAAATTGTTGTTGGTTTTCTTGTTTGATATCATCCACTGGGAGCAGAATCTAACATGGCAGAAAGGTGCCTTTTTGTTCTTACTAAAAATTTATATAATGCATTGTTCACACATTTCATTTGCCACATATGTTGTATCCTATATGCTGAGTTGCTTGGCAGGCATCTCAACATTAGCTGGGGGAACACAAAATTTGGATTCAGATATCGGTCTTTCAAGAGTAGAACATTGGGATAGCGCAAGAAGCAACAAACCCAATTATTAAACACCTTGAGCTCTCTGAGGTACAACTGCATTTCTGCTTCAGTGGGTCACAAAAACTAATGAAGCTTACTAAGAATTGTAAATCACTAAGTAAGCATGAACTTGCTTGCACTGTACCGCACTAACCGGTACCCGGGGGTATCGACAACCACCTACAGTAACCGGCCCAAGAGGGCTACGGTTACGATAGTGTAGGGGTTAGAGTACTTAGACCGGCACTAGGGCGGTGGCCACCGGTACCTGGGGTACCCCCAGGTACCGGCGCTCGGGTGTGGCCCCAAGTACGTAGTACTTGGGGTCCGGTGCTGGGTCCCGGCTTAATGGCCTTCGAGCGCCCGCACCGGTAGCTCTTTCTCACCCCCTGTTGTGCGCTACCGCGCAACATGCACCATAAGTAAACTAAATCAAGAGATTTTGTGGAATGTGAATTCATTCAAAGGAAGTTACCAGCTGGTATTGCACAATGGTTTGAATATTATGCAAGGTGATGTCTGGAAGCATATCACCAAATTGTGATTATGCATGGGCATTTCGATTTTTCCGTTGAGGCATGCTTTGCGCTCTGAATTGCACAATGCAGTTTTACCTTGGAGGTATCATTTATCTTGTATATCAAACGCACTGTGCACCATGCAATATTGCAGTATCATATGTCAAGAATGACCACATTCTAATATATGCTTCAAAATTCATATAACTTTATAATGCAAATCTTCCATTGTCCTCACAAACGCTCATTGCCCACAGAATATAGTACATAACGTTGGTGCCAACAAATCACCCCAGTAACCATATATGGGATAAAGTTATAAATATTTCAAAAGCTATATTCATCAACCAATGAATTATATGTGGGTGGGTGGGTGGGTCGGTGGTGGGTGGGGGTGGGGGGTGGGTGGGTGGGGTGGTGGGTGGGTGGGGGTGGGGGGTAAAGGGATGGGGGCTGTATTGTACTTGAGTTTAAAAAATGTGTAATTTTGTTGTGAAAGATTATGTTGATTAGAGGCTTGGCTATTAGGTGTGTAAATTGTAATATCATACGCCCAATTAGCATGGCCAAAGGGATGCTTGACACAGGACATAACAAAATGTAGGGCACTACGTAGTGCCCTATCAGCCGTATATGATGGTCTAGGCAATATGTATCCTACATAATCAATGACATCTAATAAATTTCATAGGATTGGAAATTTCACAGGAGAATGAGCTGCAAATGCTAAAAGATATGAAATCAATGGTGATTCACAACTGACGATAAATGCTTGCTCCGTCCCACAATATATATCCCCTATTACTTTGCACCATTGTCTTTGTATTAACACATGATCTAATCACGTTTTTTGATCATGCTTCATGAAATTATGATTCAGAATTTCAGGAAAACTATGGCGATGATATGTCAAATAATATGTGCGGTTTGATGATATGACAAGACATTATGTATGAATGTGTGGATAGAGAAGACATTATGCTCAAATTTGAATGTGTATACAGGGTGGACATAATCGCTG